AGGTGTTGGCTTTCGAAATCAGCATGACAGACGACAGCGTAGGCGAGAAATTTATAATGAGGAAAGGAATTAACAACCACATCATGACGTCGAAGATACTCTGACTAATTATCAAATGCAATAAGTAAGTAGTGATTTCTATTCATGTAAATAAAACTTGAATTAAACCAAATTTTAAATGTTTTTTATGCTTATTATTTTCAAAATAAAAAAGTTTACTGTTTTAGAGGCTATTGTCCCTACAAACCACCATTTAAATGTAAATGTATCTACTGTATATAATATATTGTATACATTTTGTGTTGTAAACTATAGTATAATGCTAGAAAATCAGTGCTTATTTATAAATGACCAATGAAGGTTGATAAAAAATTTATGCATTTTGGTTTTTTAGGGGCTTTTGCCCCTACAAGCCCCTAGTTCATATATATATATATGTGTCCGTTAGCACGATAACTTGAGCAAAAGTGATCCGATTTTGATTAAATTTGGTACAAACGTGTAAACCTACATTTATTTGAACGAGTTCGCGAACCAGCATGATCGGACTATGGGAACGGGGGTTTATGGGGGGTTTTATAGGGTAAAAATATTTTTTTCCCATTTTTGACCCTAAAAACACAAAACTTTATAATTTCTTTTCACACCATTTTGTAGAGCATAAAAAAACAAATAATTTAGTATATTGAAGTGTTTTTGTGCGCCTAATGGTTACGGAGAAAATTCCAAAAAACTTAAAATTTAAAATCCCTATGTTATTCTTATGGAGAATAAGTCAACTGTTGTAGTTTGCTTGTTTATGAACATACGAGAGCACGCCCCGTGGTCGAAAAATCGACCAAAAGTATGTTTTGTGCAAACTTCTCTATTTTCACCCCACACTGTAAATAAAACATGTGATTGGAATGTCTTCCATTTGTTTTGATTTTCTGTTTATATTTTGTTGTTATTTCGTCATCACCATAGCAACCCATGAGACCCATGTTAATTTTTTTAAATTTCAAATTCATTTTTTGTGCTTATTTTTGAGCCTATTTTAATTTATAAAGGGATTCTGCACACCTACAGGAAAATAGCTTTCTAACGGTATGCGTAGATTTTCCCTACGATACACACGAGCTGAGGAAAAAGGTTTTAAAGAAACATGCTTGCCTATAAATATATAGATAGATTACGATTGCATTTGGAAAATACAATAATTTCTTACTAAACTATTAACATAAAAACCCCTCATTTTTACCCTCCCTGTAGCAGCAAACCTAAGTACTCGTTAAACTAATTCTATTTAAATAGGGAATAAATATGATATTTTTAAGGAGATATTTTAGTGTAAATCCTATCAGGCTAATGGAAATTCGCTTAGTCTGCAGGTTTGCTGCGGCGGGGGTATTTTATCAGTATGGCCATTTTGACCGGGCAAAATGGGTAATTTTGGGGGCAGCTCAAAATACCCCCGGCCTGGAGCCGTGTCTGTGCAGTGTGCAAGACCCCATCTGAGATTGGCCACTAATAATCTTAAATATATTGTGTTCTCTTCATTCTGTGCTTGATGCTCTTAATATTCGTGACAACATCCGGGAATTTTATTTTTATTTGTATGCATTTGAGAGAATCTTTCATGAGCTGTGTGGCAACACTGTAACAATATAAGTCGGTTCAGTATTGTGTATGATGAACTTTTATATAAACAAAACAGACACTGACACTATTCGATTTTAGGCTGGGTAAACCTTATGGAATGACTGGTATCGGTCTAATCAGCATCGACGAGTGTTAACAGTTATTTTATTATAAGCCAATCATCAGTCTCTGTTCTGAGACGCGACTCTCGGCTTATTAAATAATATTTAGATTGTATAAAGCGAATCATCAGTCTCTGTTCTGAGACACGACTCTCGGCTTATTAAATAATATTTAGATTGTATTGCTTTATCCTATTACCCACTCAGCATGACAAAAAGCGGTGTAGTCGTGTAGCTACCCAAAAATCATTGCGAGTGTCAACTGATACAGACGACTCATGGTAAACAAACCCGGCTTTGAATCGCGAAACCTTCCATTAGTTTATAATTCATAAATGATACTTTCCTTTAACTAAAGCTAAATTTGTTTTAAATTCCTTGATAGTTTGATATTAATGATTATTAAATACGCCTCTCTAGATGTAGGCTCAGAGACACCTAGTGGTGACTAGACGAACTGTTGCGCAGTTAGTTAGGGCACAGATAGGTTAGGGTGACACATGTTAGTAGCGCTAGTGTAGTCGTCAAACACAGTATGTTGTCGATGTTCAAGCGAAACGGCTCTTAGACTACTTAACTGACTTAATAATAAAATTACAGAAATTTTAATTTTATACAGGTAATTGAATTTGACATTTGAAGATTACTTGGTATATTTTCTCCATAGCATAAAAATCCTCCAATTGAATAGTTGAGCTCTAAGTATTTAGTTATGATATACAGGTACCGTAGTAAAACTAATCCATCGTTTATTAATTACATTTATGTTTAAAAAGACTGTAATATTATTTTTTTATGTATTATTACCATTAATTTTGAACTAAACAAATAATGATATTCTTAATAAAAGCTAGCTGTACCCGTGCTTTGCAACGGGGAAAGGACACGAAGTACAAACATTTTGATCGGTACATCTGTTATATAAAATAGTGACTCATCCACCAACACTTTTAGAAACAAAATTTTACCTTTATGGCCTTTATAGAAACGTGTATGGTTTTTAATCTGGTAATTAGTGGAATCCGCCAATTTTAATCTTGTGTAGGCTGATATGTGAAAATCTTAGCAAATTTTCAAATAACATTTGCACATACATGATTTGCCACTAACTCCCTTATTTACATAACTTTTACTTTATTGTTGACATATTTTAAATTTCAATTTTGAAATTGCAAAACTACTAATTATTAAATTTAAATGAACTATTTTCAAATAAATCACAAAAAACATATCCATCAAACTTTACTTACAATAAATCATTAGCAACACTGACATCAGCTGTTATAAACTTTATAAATATTGTTGTGCCTTATTAATAGTTGTTTAAAATATTAAAGACTAGCTGTTGTACCCGTGCTTTGCAACGGGAAGAGAACACGAAATAGAAACATTTTTGATCTATACATCTGTTGATGAAATAGTTACACATAAGCCTTTAATAAACATAATTTAACCTTTATGGCCTTTATAGGATACATGTTGTCATAAATGTAAAAAAATAATAGTACTGCACCCTGTTGGTAAACCTTGTAACTTTTTAATGCTATTCAATATCATAGAACCAACTTGTGTAGTTGAAACAGCTGACAAAATTCTTTTATTCCTTTTAAATAAGATTACTCATAAGGTTAACATAGGAAACTCCAGAGCCACTGGGGCGGAGCCCGATAGGACTTTTAAGATAAGAATGCGTCTATATGTTAATCGGGAATGTGAGCTATCATCATACCAAATTTCAGCCCAATTCGACCAGTATTTTTCGCGTTTACTTGTCACAAACATACATCCATACATCCAAACTTTCTCATTTATAATATTAGTAGGACTAGCAAGAGTACCCGTCCTTCGTACGGGGTTGGAATATAAGTATAAATTGGTAATTGCAGTTATACTCAAGCTTTGTGTTTGCAATAAGGGAGGACACAGTTTAATAAAATTTGCTTTTTAAATTTACAGTATTCTATAGTATTACACATCTACCATAGCCATAATGTTCTACCAATTCACCTAAACAATAGAGAAAAATAAATTATCAACAATTCGCAAAATATTACAAATTATTCATGAAACGAAAAACATAAACATAACTCTGTAAACAATCCTACTTTGACAGTTCTCATTGAGAATCGTATGGATTCTGTATTCATTCAATAAGAGAATATCTGGAATACCTTCACTAAAACCATTTACTCTATATAGTGCAGTACAGTGACAGTTTATACTAGTAGCATAAATAAAACATAGCCCCTTAGGGACTATGTTTTATCTATGCTATAGAAAGCGACCTCCTCCAGCATTGGTTTAGCATTAGCGCGCAGGTCAGGTCGTTTTCTAAGCGGCCGAACTATAGTAATTAGTATCACATACTATAACAACTAACTCGTTTAATATGGCAATATTGAAAAATTTGAAATCTGTTTTGTGTGTTTTTATTGATAAAGTTTAGAGTGCACTATAACATATATTTTTCTTTTATTTTAGGACCAATTTTACATAATCTTCTACGTTTAGTTATAATACAGGGTTTAGTTATAATACATAATTATTATAATAATAATTAGTTGTACTAGAGGGCAAGCTATTACTGATTACTAGGTAGTTTTATTATTGGTCAACATTTTCTAAATGGGTGGAGTCACAAACAAACATTGTTTACAGAGCTAACGTTTGCATGATTAACCCTAGCTGGACATGTAACACACATTAATAACAGGCCTCGGATTTTAGAGTTGACTAAGAAGTCTGAGAAATAAAACCAATGGTTGAATTTCATATTTTACTAGCTGTATCTGTTGCATGCACTGAGCTAAAATTATAACTGGAGGTAGCACTGCCATGGCAGAAGTCTGTCAAAAGCGTGTCGCTGATTTTGTTAGGTTGGTATAGCAGTAAGTTTTCTTATCATAGCAATGACATGGCTTCTTATAACTAGGTTGGTATAGCAGTGAGTATTTTTGTCATACTTGAATACTTTTAATACTTAAATAATTTTCTTTGAAATGGCGACCATACAAAGTAGGTATTTTAAGCCAAGTATAATAATAGTTATAGCAATAATATGGCTTCTTATGACACCAGACTCACGCAAACATGGCGGCTGGCGACACGCATCTTTGACATTCAGTGCTACCTCCAGTTAGAATTATAGCTCAGTGGTTGCATGCTGGATAGTGGTCTTTGCCCAGCTCAGCTGAGTTGACAGCTGTTACATCTTCTGCTTGATGTTTTCTTATTGGATAAAAAAACCTAGGCAGCCTAGGCTCATCATAACCTATTTCCAAACCATTACAACACAAACATTGTCAGTCAGTCGTAAATATTTATTAAATAGAACTAAGTATGTCAAAAAATTAAGAGTGTATTTTAATCCTCGTGTATTCTATATTTTAGAAACTACGATGAACTCTAATCTTCCCAGGCAAATAAGTTTGCTCTTGAGTAAGGCGTCTCGACCAATTTTGAGGTTACCCACTAACAAAACACTATGCTATCGTCTAGAGTCCAACTATCAAAGCTCAATAAGCTTAAAACAACTGTATCCGGCAAGTTCACTGCGCTTATCATCTCCGAATAAGGTAACATTTTTATCTTCTCCTACCTAAGCTTAGTTTCTTAATTAATTTTAGATGGTGAAACTTTTCAATGCAAACATTCTAGAGGTCACTAGAGGATTTTCTAATAGGCTAGGCCTTAAGTTACTCCTAAGATGAATAATGTTAATTAAACCTACTTAACTTATTGGGTTCCATTACGTCCAACCAACAACCAAGTAGGCAATAGGCCTACTATAGACTGGACTGGACATGTAGGCCTAGCTTGAAAATTAAAGTTGGTGCTGGTGAAGGGAGTAGAAATTTACTAGGTACTGGTGATGATGGTGAGCCAATACCCTGGTTGAGCTTTTATACAGTGCCAGATTTAGATACCTGAGGCCCTAGGCCCAATTACTCGAGCGGCCCAAAATAGTGAACATTCCATGTGTCGCGATCACGGGGACATCATCATCGAAAGTGACTGCAGAAAAATCGTGAACATCTCCTGTTGGTCAAAATCACTGGGATATCATTGTCGACACCCGCAACCGCGGTAAAATTGTGAACATCTTCTGTAGGCTGCGATCACGGGGACGACATCATCTTTGACACCAGTGACCACGGCAAAATCGTGAACATCGGTTGGTGATAACAATGGAGATATCATCGTCGACACCCATGACAAAATGGTAGGCTACCTTGTATGTCTCTATCATGAGCTAAACTAAACTATCCTAAGATAAATGCTGCAGCACACTGTAAAAGAGTAGCGGATGGCACTCTTCTAGAAAATACCAATGAGTACCAATAGAGAATCCATAGGCTATTTATTTACATTCAGTATTTAGGTCTATATTTAATTAAATATTTGAATCAATACTAATATCTAATTTAAAAAAAAAATGTATTAATCAGCTAACCGGATAGGTTATAAGTTATTATTTTAAACCCACAGTGTTCACAGAATTTGAAACATAAACAGTCTAAGTTAATGAGGTGTTATTTTATCAAAAGTTGAGGTTACTAGAAAACCAGATATTTGTCTAAATTAACATGTTGTGGTCCCCCTGTGGTGAAAATGAAAAAGGGGATTGATTAAAATCTCTTTAGATAAGTTAGATCTATTTTCTCATCCCTAAACCACCCAGAAAACATGTATATTTTTTTCTTTTTAAGGTACCAGAAAAACCAGGGGAGAAGTTCAATGGCTTTATACCAATCGGTAAGTGGATTTTAAATATTTGTTTCGGTTTTAACTTTCGCGATCAATAATTAATTACAAGATTGGTAGAAGAAGGTTTCTCCGACGTGCGCCACTGGTGAGTAACAAATTGAATTTTCAGTAAAATATCACACAGACTTTCCAAAATACTCCTGCCACAGCAAGCCTGCACACTAAGGGAATTTTAATTTAAAGCCTCTATGGTTGGGCTTTACCTAAAAATTATTTTCTTTAAACATTTCAAATTTATTTTCTCTATAGCTAACATTAATTTTAATGAGTAGGTAGCCTACTACATTCTACTACTAGGTCTGCTGCTACAGGTAGTATGAATAAACAAATTTACCAAATTTGATCAAAATAAGTTATATTCCTAAACAAGAAAACTACAACTGTTACCGTAATTATTATTCATCTCCATAGAATACGTACATGGGAATTTTAAAATTAAAGTTTTGGGGAAAACATAGAAGAATTAATTGTAAACTTTGTTGTTTTGCTTATTGTATGGAGAACAATCCATGTTTAGGCCTACATCCACAATTGCTCCACCTACATCCTGTTGATATCCACAGAGGTGAAGCCCGTAAATATTTAACACACATTGAATAATGTCTGCCTATAGCCTATGTTGGCCGATTTCATGAGCTATCTTTGTGTAGTATGTTCAACACGGTAGCTTCAGCAGTTTTGTCACTTTCGGAAAAAATACTGACAGAAACTATTTCTTTATTTTAATATAGATTGAGCCAAGAGCCAAAATAAGAAAAAATAATAAGTGTGCTGCTGCTGTAATACTATTTCATGTTATGCCTTCTAGGATTTACAAGTTTGTTTATTATGATTGTTTACGTGATTGTGATTACTGTACAGAAGCTCTCAAGATAACGTACAGTCGCAGCTCAGGCCCAGGAGGACAACATGTTAACACTGTCAACACCAAGGTCGACCTCAGGTTTCATCTTGAAACAGCTGATTGGCTACACCCAGACCTACGCAGCAGGATGGCGGAAAAGGTAACTAGGCTATACCACCAGCTTAACTATAATCTAATAGGACTTTAAACCTAAATTGGTTTAATCCCTCTAAGTTTTGTGGTTATTGTGAGTGTTCCGACAATTTTGTTACAAAACAACCTAATCAATTCCAAGAGCTTAATGTATGAAAAACACACAAGTAAAATAACTAAGGATCTTACTTATAACTCTTTCACCGTAAGACAGGTAGCACTTTGTCAAATATATCTCATCTGATTTCTAATAGGCACATGCAGTAGTAGTTGATAGGGTGTATAACAAAATGTTATATCACCTTTTTGTTAACTTAATCAGCCCATCACTGTAGTAGATCTAACTTACTTGTTTCTAATTTCAGGAAATAATCTCAGCCTTTGCTTATTGTTACCTTAAACATAACTTGTAAAAAAATCACAACATTCTAGAAACAACCACCTTAGGTCAGGTAGAGTCTTCAGGATATCAGGTATGATTGGCAGATGTAGGCCTATAGTGTTTTAAATGCCCACTCATTTTAAATATTAAGTTCATAACTGTTAACCCAGTATTAGAATAGAATAGTGTTGATTCAATTTCCATCTTAGAGTTTGACTGTTTACAGTACAAGACAAAAATTTCTAAGGAAGGATTCCTAATTATTCGCTCAGATAAGACAAGGTCGCAACAGTTGAATCTGGCTGACTGCATGGAAATATTGAGAGCTTTGATACGTGAAGTGGAGTATGTCAGGGCTGAACCGTCCCCTGAGACACAGGAACAGATAAGGAGAAGGTGAGTTGTTGTTTTGACTATTGTTAGAACAAGACATTCCCATCCCCATGTTAAAGTTGTACAGTAGAGCCCCGCAAACTCGGCGTAATGTGGACTGGAAGGGTGCCGAGTTTGTGAAATTCCGGGTTATCGGGAACTAGAGTAAAAATAAGAGCAATAACATTTTTAAGCTTTTTAACCGCCTTTTTCGATTAGATTTATATTACAAGTCAGTATTAAGTCATCAGATATAGTACAGTAGAGAATAAAAAATCTGAACGTCAAAAATCTGAAACGTCAAAAATCTGAAACGTCAAAAATCTGAACCGCTCCTGAGGGTTTAAAATATTGGATTAGCACGGAGACAACAGATGTTTTACAATTTTGGCAGGGAAATGAGTGAAATAAGTACAAAAATCATTATTTTATTTCATTCACTGTATCCTAGAACTGTATTTTTAATACTGTAGGCCTAGTTATGTGTCTAAGGCATTTCTAGGCTATGTTTTAAAATCCGAACAAATCGGTAATCTGAACTACCTACAGTCCCAATTTGGTTCGGATTTTTTTACTCTCTAGGCCCTACTGTACAACAAATCCTTAGTATTAGTTGCAAATGCAAATACTTGAGCTGGCTTGTGTCCATGTTTAACTCGGACTCAAAATATCACTAATTTTTTAGCCAGGTGATGGCCGAGTTATCCAGACTTCTGGGTTATCCAGTTCCGAGTTTGCGGGACTCTACTGTAACCAGTTTTATAATCCAAGTGGACAAAGTTAAATCGAGTCACGGATAGAGTGTGCTGATTTCCATAGAATAGGCCTCCTTTTTAACGGAGGCTAACCACAACAAATATTATAACAGAAAAGGTATGGATCAAAACATAAACAAATTGTCACTGGCCCAAAAGTAAACACTACGGTACTTAAATGGAAGTCCAAACCAGCTGCTACAGATACTAGTATAAACATTCGGGCCAGTGACATAATTTGTTTAGGTTTGTGATCCGTATCGATTGTGGAGCTCAGCCCACACAATATATTTAAATGTCCCGCCACATACATGTAAAGTCAAGCCATGGAACAATCCAGGACAATATGGTCGCGCATGCGCAGCAATGATAGCAGGCGAGGACGAGGAAACACCGGTTGTCATGCCTCTGCTCTCGAAGGACCAACAGGCTTCGTAGTTACGTGGGGCACGGGGTAAGGCCCCCTCACTGTCGCATTTTAATATTAAAGGTTGGTTCAATTCTTAGTTCACGTTGTGTCCAGTTATCTGATAGTAATTATTGCATATATTCAAAGATCATGGTATTTGTGTTGTTAAAATTGTTCAATTAATAATAATAATTATCAAAGCAGGCTCTTTGGGCCTGTGATTTGCAGTAAATTGTCTCCTCTTGTCAAATAATCGAGTCCATTGTCGTTTCCAACACGAACGGTTTGATCATGATAATGTATCGAACGTCCAAATCTCCAAAATGTAGCTAAAATACGCCACACCATATTTTCTAAGATTAAATTACTTATCCTTAGCTAGCATCTTTTATTGCATATTAATTATCTCAGAAACCAAAAATATGGGAGGGAATAGATCTTTTGGGCACTTTCACACGAGAACCACTGGCGGTGACCACTGCAGTTACTGCGAGGCAGACACGACACCGGTGGCCGCCACCAGTTACCAGACAGGCAATTGCAGTGGATGGTACAGGCAACTGACACGCCTCTCCACCAACAGCCACCGAACAATAGTTGAGAAAATGCTGACGAGCAAAGCACATCTCCTTCTTCTCGCGTTACTAATAAAGAAAAGAAGGCAAAGAGGTATGAGTATGTTCCATGTACATCCAATACCAACCTCCATAAAGGACAATGGCTTTTATATTACAAGTTGTTTGACAAATTATTATAGGTCCTCACAATTAATTTTGTCTTTTATTATTTTGTTTAGGCTCTTATTATGTTCTTTTTTCCTGTTCCGTTTTTCTTCTGATCACTCATTTCTTAACACAAACAAACAGTTCAACAAGAAAACACTTCACAACTAGAACAAGTGCGTTTGTGTCTGCACGTGATCTGACTGTTTATCCGGATAGTAGATGCGCGCACATCCGCAGTGGCGGCCACTATTGGCTTTGTCTTAAGGCTCCCATTTAATTCAATGCCCCGCGCCGCGACGAGACTTTATGCGTGGCAATCTGTTCCAATTTCTCTGTCTTTTTTACTTAGTACATATTTGATCTTTTGATTTATTTAAAACATTTTTGCTCGTTCCAAAATAATAGTGCTAGCCTAGTAATCAAAAGGTCGCCGGTACAATTCTGAGAAAAGTATGTAGCTTTTTTATGGTTCAAAACTGGACCTAGCTGTCCTTGTTTATTGGGCTTTCAATAAATGGTCCTGGCTAATCAAACAGCTGGTCTTAATCAGTAATAAAGCTACACAGGTCATCTCACTCTATTCTACTCTCATCTTTCACTCATATTTGGGTTATAATACAATAGACAAAAATAATTAAATATAGACCGTTAGCTGTGCTGCGATAATCATAGGTTCTGGCGCACACCGCTGGGAGCGCCTTGTAGTTTCCGCTTCAGTGCTACGTAACTACACGGTGCTCCCAGTGGTGTGCGCCATAACCTATGGTAACCGCATCACAGCTGACAGTCTATATTTAATTGGTTTGTCTATGATTATACGCACCCAGATTGCATCCCCATCTACATTGATAATGATATACAGTAGAGTCCCGTTAGTCCGAAATGGTTGGGACCGGACCCATTTCGGATTACCAAATATTTCGGATTAAACTTTTTTTTCTTTTTTTTTTTAATAAAAAAATTTTGTCGTAGGACGCTAGACACAAGCCCGGGATTGTTTTTCACATTACTTTAGGCTAGACCTAGGGGCTGCAGCATTATCACTTAAATTAAATCCATTTGTGATTAGGCGGGATTGGAACCTGGGACGAAAATTTAAAAAAATGTTAATTAAAAAAAAGCAAAATATTCACTAAAAATACTCTATATAACAAGTCTATGACTGTGTTAAAAGTTAAAATTTTTTTTTAATTTAAAAGAATTCAAATTTTTTTGTATAGTTTATGAAAGCCAATTTTCTTTTTTTCAGGAAAGAGAAAGCCAATCAAGTTCGCCTGATTGAAAAGAGAAGTAAATCCGTTATCAAGGCCAATAGAAGAGAACCTCCTCTATAAAACTTCTTCTCACGAGGAGAGCAAAGTTGTAATATACTTAAGATAATAGATACTACATTATTTAACTTGTGCTGAGTATTTACTAGATTGTCTCGTTAGGAGTCTTTTGAGATTCAATAAACAATGTTTCCTAATTCTGTTCTTTCCTGTTAGCACTTTGTCCTGAATGATCCCATGTAAACTCTAATACTTCAACTTGGCTAAGCTACTTTTTATTATATATTTTAGTATTACACATTTTCAAATCGCCACAAAATAGTCTTCTTAATGTAATCACTGACCTAATGGTTTCAAATCTCGGTTTTAAATTTGATTAAATCTCTCTGCCAACGTACAAATCTAGGGCCAGATTTAGCTCTATGCTTTGAATTAATGTCCCGAAGTAATGACTATCACAGCTAACTATGGTATCTATACCTTCTGCAAAGATTCGTGGCGGCTGAGGGATTAGGACGGTCGGGTGGTGTCCCAGCCCCTAAATTAGCCCTCGCTCTACTGCTCTGGGTTTTGACCATGAGTCACGCACTAGGCTCAATGCATTGTTGGAAGAATTTTTGTATATCACCATAAAGTGTATTAAATAACGCCAGTTTTGTAACCTGCGTCAAATAACAAGAACATTGAGCCCAAACACGAAATAATTGCGACGATATTAAGTATACATTTGGTTTTAAAATAATAGACAGTTTTCGTGTCGTGGTATGCTTGATATCATCGCAATTATTCCGTGTTTGGGCTCAATGTTCTCGTTATTTTATGCAGGATACAAAAATGACGTTATTTAATACACATTATGGTGATATACAAACATTTGACCAATTAAGCATTAAGCCCAGTGGGTGACTCATTGTCAATCCCCAGAGCAGCCGAGTGAGGGCTAATTTAGGGGCTGGGACACCACCCGACCGTCCTAATCCTTCAGCCGCCACGAATCTTTGCAGAAGGTATAGTCCTACAGGAAATTATAGATGGTACGTAAAAGAAAGAGAATGTAAAAACGGGAAACATTGAAGTTGGAGCAGCGAATAAGTGTGATGTCCATGGGTTGTCTGTAAATTAAAGTCTCCATCTGGTTTCCGTCTCGGCCAATCAAACTAGTTCAAATCTAAGACAAGCCCACTGTTCTCTAACTCATATACTAGTATTTCAGCTGGTTTGCACCTATATGTGACTGTTAGCCTCATCATATTAACCAAAAACTATGCTAAAGAAAATTTAACATTGTGCCAAGTAGAAATTCCATTCTGTGATTTGATTTCTGTAGTCTAAGGGGTCAATCGCTATTAAATTAAAGTCTATCGATAGTTGTCAGACGTGAATTAAGTAATTTTTTTGGACTTGGCCTTGTTTTGCAAATGTGTACAGCCATCTTGATTTTTAATTTTCCTGAATTTTCAGATAAAATTTTACATTTAACTTTGTCATTGTAGTAGGTAAATGCGGAGAAACGTATGGCTGGGAAAAACTAGTGAAGGTGAAATAGCTGGTAACCGTTTTACCATGGTGGTGGTGGTATTCACCTGGTAAACCATATGTAATAAGAAGAAAACTGCATTTCATTGATTGCAATGGAATATATTAAACCATGACATTAAAATTTTGTTAAGTAGCAAGAAATTATAATAGACATGTATGTTCATTATACACACACTGAACATCAATACGTAGCCTACCTTAAAAATAATCTTTCTTTAGCTAGGAAGAAAGATTAGCTAGGAATTTTTGCTTTTTTTTTGGAGTTATCATCTACCACCCATAGAAATTTGCTTAAGACAATTTTAGGTTGTTTTTTTGTATGGAGAGCATGGTTATTTGATGCTACCTAAATAGTTCATTTAATTTAATCAAACCAACTTTAAAACAAGGTATTTATTGCTTGTCCACTGTTATCACTAAAAACGCCTAGACCACATTTTAACCCTAAGATAAGAGGAAAAAATTAGTCGACATCAGAGCACCCAGATGTGAGGGTTTATGAAATACTAATCAAAATCAGGGCATAAAATAACATGTTAACTGGGCGACAAAAGTGTCGCCCAGTGACTATGGGTGGTGCCGGCATTTTTTTTTTATGATTCACATTTTAAATCTATAGGAATTTAAAATAACATTATGTAAATATTTTAGAGTATTGAGCTATGTATGATTTTGGCCCAAGAGACTATTTACAAGCAAATATAGCCTGATCTAAAAATTCACTAAAATATACGTAGAAATGTGTGATTTTCACTTAAATTTATCCAAAAATTTCCGGGGGGGGCTCAGACCCCCCTTTTTGATGGGGGTATGAATAACCCCCAGGCCCCCCAGTAAGTCCGGCGCCACTGTCGCCCACTGGAAATATGCTCTGATTTCAAAATATGCTGCGATTCATACAGGATTGAAGGCCTACTACTTGCTGTGTCCAAAGTGAGTGCAGCAAAAGCAGTTTGTTACGCTTGTGTTACACATTATTTTCCTACAGTTACTAAATCAAATAAATAATTAGTCTTTCAAGCATATTGTACAACACGTATTTAGGTCAGGTTAAATCCAAAGATTGAACGAAATGGGAAACGCTGCACCAGCTGATCATAGTGTTAAACTTATTTTCAATCGCACGCGGATTACCGGCATAATAAAAGCACGCTGTTTTGTGTTGTTTGGTTGGAATACTGGTGTGCGCCAAAGTTGGGCTTTCTGTACTATAATCTGTACAAGGAAGCCCACTTCGTCGGTTGACTGTAGGAAAATATTATTTGTTTTCATTAGAACATGAACAATAAAAATTTTGTTAAAGAAATAGCTTAAAACTATGTAAACAAAAAATGATAACATTGGAACTTTCTTATATGACATCTACTCAATATCTTTCAAATGAGCCGTAAACTAACAAAATCGGTTGAAAAACCAGGGTGGAGTCCTGTGGACAAAAATCGTGTTTGCCTTTTAATAATAATATATAGACAGCGCCTTCAACATAACGATGCCAGCATCTACACACTGATGTATTGCGTGAACCTTTTCCAATTTCCAGGCGATACGATACCTGTCTTAACTCGTACTCCCCCTCCAACTGCTGAATTCCAACAGGTTCTTCGCTGGAGGGGAGGAAAGAGAGAGCCGTCCAAGACCAAGAGTTCTCAGTGGAATTCCGTAGTGGAAGGACCGACATGGGACAGTGATTTGACAGTGTATTTGTTTGTTCTTGTTCGTTTGTGCCTCGAAATGCCGTGCTCCGCAGTAACATTATCTTTAGCCACCATCACGGCTATCATAGCCACCGCTATGTTGGCTATAGCCTTCAGCACGGATAACTGGATGCACATTGAAGTCAAGAGATCCAATATCAAGGTAAGCCAGGATTTCATGTTGGAGCGGTATGAACCGCATTACTTTTGGTAGCGTGAATTTTACTTTGATGCCTGACTATTCTTGGAAGAATATCGCGGGATTCATCAAGAACATCAATCTGAATATGGATTTCGGGAAACCCTGATTCCTGATTAAGTTGTAGAAGTTACAGTGCCAACGTCTGTGGGATTCCCAAGCCTTAGAAACGATTACTTGTTTAAAAACATACATGTTTCCTCTAATCAATTTCTAAACCGACTGGGAAACTCCCATAATACGTCTCACGTTTGTGAGTAAATCACGGAGAAGTAATATAAACACAACTTCTCTGAGAGTAAATCAAAATATTTCCTGAAATATTAATTCCCAACCGTGGCTTTCAAAATTCCGAATCTCGACATTTCAATAGAGGTATCATAACTTTTCCTTCAGCAGCTGCCCGTCTTCTTTACGTTTAATTATGTAGGCCTACCAGTTTGTTTGAACTTCTGTATAAATTGTACTCCATATCAGTCACACTAAGACACCACCAATTAAAAGATATATTTATTTTTTACAATTTACGACATAACAAACAATAAACAATAATCATTGTAGCATGGTTGCTTCAAGGCCTTCACCCACTTATCGGCGTTACTGGAAAACCAAGCATTAGTTCTCGTTCATATTAGATACATTTTAATACTCATGTAATCGACATACATAGAGTGTAATGAGAATGAAACACCAATCAAAATCCTTATTGAAATGAGCGATTTTGGTTATCAACAAGAATTTTATTGTTGTACAAATTAAGTTAGGCCATCAAAAATCACTTTAACCTACAGTAGTTTTGACCGCACTAGCACTTTTGGACTTTCAACAAGAAGTCTTTGTCCATTGTTGAAAACAGGTGGGATGTGTAAGAAGGGGAAGAATGAATCAACAACCAAGGAGGGGGCTACTGAACAAGTGGGTGAAAGCTGTAGCCCATATACTGAGGTTAATTTTAAAGTTTACTATTTAAACATTGTTTATGCTAGTAGTAAGCACAAAGACGATATTCAATAAAACGTCTACAATAAATCAGTAATCATTTACAACTAAAGGAACATAGAGGCACAAGGACGTTTTCAGGGGTTGGAATTTGAAGGGGATGTTTTTTGTCACAGGTTGTTTTGTTGTCTCCGAGCACCTGTGTAGCCGCAGCCCTGACCTGTTCTTTTAGGGGTGGTGTCTAAGGGGGGGGGGTAGGAGGAAACCGCAGAAACCCTTAGCTTGACTGGACTCGAAGAATGTGGGTTTATACTGAAATAAAAAACATACAATGGCGTTATTGGGGTTTAGGAATTTCGTACGATAGAAATATCTCGTAAAATCATTGTATGTACAAATCGCGTTTTGTTTTAAACTTTCATGTAACATATTTTTACCTTAAGAGGGGTTGCATAATTGTTTACAATAGTATGGCTTCAAGGATATTTTGATGATGCGACTTAATGGTATTTTGCCTACTAAATTAAATTATATACTTATTGGTTTGTTTAGTGCTAAAATGCTTTCATAAAATAGGTTAAAAAACATAGCTACAAACATAACTCAATTGAGCCGTTTACACAGTGTTGCTTTAATATACATGTATATTATATGTATATTACATGTATATTGATATACATGTATATTTAATATACATGTACCGTTTTTCTTCGTACGCTCCAACACAGAAAACATACTACTGTAGTATGTTTTCTGTGGCTCCGATATTTAACCACCCCAAACTTAATTTTTGCTTTAAAATTTTTTAAATTGTATGGTTTGAAATTAGATATTTTGGTAGTATAATTGGTAATATTTGTACAACTATTACAGTACCAAACACTTAAAAGAAAATAAACCCAGTAACTATATTGAACTCTTTTCTGCTGGCTTTAACAGCTGGCCCATTTCACTTATAGCGTGGATGTATACTTCTGTGTCCAAGTAGTTCAAAAATAAATGCAAAATAATTTGAAATTTACTCCTGTTTTCAACAACTCCTCATCAAGCCAAGATCTGCCAACAGATAAGACTGTGTAACTCCCCATGTACTTACATATCCATTATCACTCTCTGGCTAATGGAGTTAGCGTTTGTGGTGAAACTGCTGTCCGTCCGGCGATTCTTTTGAAACTACAATACAAAGATAAGACTAATGAAACAACTTTCAGCTCTCTACGATTTATTTACAAGTCTAATTTCCTGTGACTTTTTGATATATTTCTTTTTGAACCGTTATTTTGAATTCTGTGTTTTAAAAAAATATTTTATTTTAGAAAGGCTATTGTACAATGGTTGGGCTTTTGGGCTATCTCCGGTTTCTTATAATACGATAACAAGTGTTTTTAAACTAATTATCTGTGTTAATCCTGATTTTATAACAAATTTCTTCTCAATTATATTGAATTTCTCCTGTAATAGTAGCCGATGTTATCTGATAAATCAAACTATGCTAGAAAAACTATACAACAAATGAAAACCTATTAGAAAAAACGATACTGTAGCCTAAATGAAAACTTATCTAAATCCCATTTTATTAACTGACTAATTTTAACAGCATTTAATGAAAAAAACGCCATGATTTGCTCCATGGTTGATAATTCTGTATTTTTTCATATTTACGACATAACAAAAAATTTCAGTAAAAATGTAAATAAATGTCAAGCATCCACATATATTTTTTTATGGACTTGTAGTTATTCAACGGTAAGTTTATTTAATACATACAATCCTAGATGTACCACGCACAGTATTTATATTATTTTAAACCCCTCCACAAAGTGTCGAAAGGTTGCCATTTATTTGATGTGTAGGATGTGATATGTGACTGCTCTTGGCCTTTCAGGCGATATCACGAATTACTAAATATACCATGTATAGATGCATCAATTTTATTTTAGGATGCTTGTACGGTAAGGAAACACGAATATGACATATAAATTCTTTTCAGCAACCATTTTACACATTGTGTAAAATCTTCAACTTTTTGGCTTCCCTCGAAAATGCTACATTTTAACAGCTTGCTAAGGAAACTATAACAAGTAAAAGTTGTTAAATTTTATGGTCAATTAGGGCATTGCGCGATGGAAGTTAGGACATCCTAACCAATTTCCGCTTGGCGTAAGAGGTAATGAAAATATCCGAGATGGTTGACAATTAAGGACATTAAGGTTCTGTAACATCCGATTTTACATGGGAAGAGAACCAGGAGATATGTGAGAGTGAATATAAAATACTGTGAATTAGCATACATGTATATCAAAGGTTGTCTTGGTTAAATTACCCTAAGTAGAGGCAACATTAGAATTTATTTTATGAAAGCAACTATCAATAAAAATATGGTTTTCGGGACCTTTACTTCAGTCGTAAAGAAGTGTACTGTTGTATTACAAAAACTGCTTTTTGCCTGTGAAATTTAAGGTCGTGCATCAGTTGCACCAGAGTTCCTTAATTGTGCCAAAGAGTTCCTTAATTGCGCCAAAGAGTTCCTTAATTGCGCCAAGCCGTTCCTTAATTGCGCCAAGCCCTCAAAGGGTCCAAAAATGTTACTTAGTTGCGCCAAGCCCAAGTTTGGTAGTGTTGATTTGCCATCAGAAGGAATTCGTACCACCTGTTAGTAAATATCTACAATTGTTATTTGACCAATATAAACACACCATAAATCTTTATTACATAAAAGATAATTGTTGTTGATAATTGTTAATTTTCACCTAAGTCCTTGTTTAACGTGTCATCCTAACCTAACCTACTCAATTATACAGTCAAAGAGGGCCGCCACTTGGTGCAGTTAATGAACGTATCGGGTGGCTTTCTGGAGTAGTTGGCGCAATTCAGGAATACCTGACTCAGGTCAGTTAACGCAATTAATGCCCGCCCAAATTTAACACGTCCGAGGAAATCCTTTCGATGATTTATTCACATATTCAAGTTAATCTTAGGTAATACAACTCACCTCAAATAGGTTTCTCGTAAAATCATTTCATTTTTTAAAAACATTAAATATCAATAAGTAGTTATCAAAATATTCTGTTTTTTAATAAGACAACCCCCTTATTTTTCATAACACTTATCATAAGAAATATTTATTGGTTGGATCTAATTATAAAAAGATTTTAAATCTGTAAACCGAATTCCATACAAATATTGGTAGAAAAATATTTTAGATTTTCACAGTCTAAAAGAGACTTGGTTATTTACAAACGAAGTTAGTACATGGCCAACGTGTTCCCCCCGAAGGGAGACTTTCTAAAATGCTGTAGCGCCCGTGGAATTTAATCGTCCACAAAACTATAACGGCAACGGTCAACTCAGTAAGAGAATTTCACGGTGAAAGTGATCCCGTGAAATTCCTTTACACCCGTATGAAATGCCAGAACAATGTTTGTACACTTCCTCAATTACTGAACTTTATGTCAACCAATTTAACCAGTTAATGTGTTTTATCTTTGTAAAATAATCCAGCAATGTAGTAACTGTTTCAGAAAGATCCCAAGTCGTTTTTTGGTGCGGTCGGTTTCAAATTTCTCTAAAACTGTAAGAGTCCTATATTTAAATAAATTTCAGGAGACTCCTTGAAACTTTTTGTATGTATTATTAAGACGTTTTTTGCTCAGGCGAGTAAGGAATTAAAGTGAATGCTATTTATTTATCCAGACAAAGCAAAGATATATTTCTCTTAACTTGTAGCACAAAAGACAGTATAAATATCGAAGGATCCAAGATAAGGTAAATAAAAGTTAATGTAATACTGTATGGGTTTTACCTGGCCGACTTCAGTTTTCCCAGCGTTAAAATCCCCGCACTGCATCGTCTGAAAATTAAAATAATTCATATTGCAAGCCATATCAAAATTTGAAGTGGTTAAATTCTTTAGGAGAAAGATAGTTTGAATTCTTATTCTACGTTATCTGTTAAATGCATCAGATCGTTCATTTGTGAGTTAAAGATCTCGTTTCGTTTCTAAAAAAACACTTGTTTTGAGGTTT